GCTTTTATCCAAAGCGACTTACAATAAGTACATTCGACCAGGAAGACACAACCTTGAAGAAAATAGAATCATATAAGTACATCAGGTTTCATAGAGCCAAACATTTCAAGTGCTACTCAACTGGCTTTAGGTAAGCCAGCCCTTTATTAGTATAAAAGTGCTTCGTTAATAGTTCTAACGCTCGAAGTGGAGTCGAAAGAGATGAGTTTTCAGTTTGCTCCGGAAGATGTGCAAGCTATCTGCCGTCCTGATGTCTTTAACCACGCCGCCCAAAAGGCTCGTTCACAGTAAGCACGTGAATTTGCGTACACGTAACAGCACCGCGCGTTCATGACAGCATGGTACTGGATTTATATTAACGAGGCGGCAGTTAGCAGCTAGAGGCTAGCTAGTAAATTATGCTAAATTACACATCAATCGTTATGCACTTTTATATTACGCTGACATCAGGATCTAGTGATATCCAAGCAACAGAGCTTCATTTAGCATGATACTTGTGTGGGTTGTACATGAAACCACTTGGTAATATATACAAATGTATATGTTGAAGCCTCTTATGATCAATTGTGAGTTACAACTTTATCTAAAAAGTAAAGCTAATGATGGATTACTGTGGTGGAGTTAAAATAACAATAGCCTATTTATTTTTGAAATGTGATGGAGTAAAAGGATAGTAACTGTGATTATTCATGTTAAGTAGCCCACAAGTAACTAAAACAATTGCAAGTGCAATAAGAAGCTACAGGAACGTTAATCTACGTCGGTAATATTAACTTTATTTAATACAACATTTACGGTACAAGATTTACATCATACAGCCCAGTATAATATTTGACAAATAATGAATTACATGTGCAATATATCCATTATTACAGCTCCGTGGGCTGGCAGTAAGGCGATATGGTCCGTTGTTATTGTGCATCCATGGGTAACGAGAAACTCATGTAGTACTGAACACGTGAACGTGCCGGTCGGCGCTGTCCCGTGGGTTAGATGCGCGTTCATAATGCAGAGGGAAATAACTCTCAGAATAGCGTTATTAGCACATTTTTACAACTTGAGGAACAAATGTTTTTAATAAGGGCTATACAAACGTTCATACTGGGTAGTTTATTTAGTTTAAAAAAAAGTATCCAACGAGTTACAGACCACTCTTTCCCCATGTAATTCAATGTGAAAAAGTGTTTCCGGGCCCAGCAACCTAAAGGAAGTGTAGTACCGCCGTTTGACCAGCACGAATATTCTCATCAGACTCCGGCGCACTTCCTGGGGGCTTGGTGTGGAGGGGGAGTGGGCTATCAAGCCCTCAAACAGCGAGTCTGCAGCGTTGCTGACTTGAGACCGGTCTCTACCTGACCGGAGTCACGCTGTGTGTCCGTCGGGAAACACGCTGTTTACAAGTAGTTCCAAACATCCACTGATAAATTGCGATGTTAACAACCTCATGATAACCTCACTTTGTTTTTAATTTAGGATCATACCTGTGTTTAGTCTAGAAAAAGGTAAATGTGTGCATTTTATTATAAAGTTGTGTATATTTACAGACAGTTGCAAAAACTAAGAAGCTTATAAACATCAGGTTTAAAACTAAAAGAGCTTTGAAACACAATGAAAGATGTTTGGAGTTTTATTTGAGTTATTAATTTAAACGTTTTGTCTAAGAGATGCTGATTTGAAACCGTTGTTACATACAGTTACGGCATTTCCTGTTTCTGCCGGAGAGAGGGGAGGCCGCCCCAAAGCTTGCTGCTGTATTTACTCCCTCCATCTGACAGGAGGGAGCCTCGTTGAGCTGCGAGTGTGGCTACAGACGGAGTTCACTCCATCACGGAGGGGTAGGGTCGAGGGGGTGGTTTGGGATTGGGCCCCAGTCTCAGGACACCTCCACTGTCAGTACAGGAAGTGACGATTCTGACGCGTTTTTTTTCCCGCCCACCGAAGGACTCGTTTGATGGAAGTTTTCAAATCACAATGAGACTCATCACGGAGGTGATGAGTCCGCCCACCATGCACTTTGGGTCCTATTGACCCCCCCAGCCTGGTTCTTGTCAAAGTTTTTCGCTCAAATGACACCATGGAGGAATGTAACGGGAGTTGACAGGGGACTCTGCCCGCCTCACGAGTGTCTATTTTCGGACACTTTTTTTCACTTTTCCCCGGTTTTATTTTTTTGGCTATTTCACCCGGGGACATTGCCCGGTCTCGGGTGTCCCCCCACGGCCTGTGTCCAGCCACCCGATGGCCGGGAGGGTGTGCTGCGTTGGGGTGGGGGACTTCCCCCACTCTGCGTGTCTCTTCCTTCCAGGGCCGGCCGATATGAAGCGTGACCAAGACGCACCGTACAGGGGTCCCACGGGTCCCGCAGCGGGGTGAAGGTTCCCAGCTGAGCTGGAACCTCCCCACCTCCGCCGCGGTGCACCCGGCACACACGGTTGTTTCTCGAACCTTCCACTGTTGTCTAGCGGGTGTAACTAAAATACAAGATGTCGTATTTATATATATATAAATAAATATCTATATAGATAATAAGTGTCAGTAAGATTTTATTTTGCGTGCATTTCCTGTTCGGAAAGTGGCGCTGCGGCTGTACTGATAGTAACCACAATACAAGGTGTCCGTATGTATATATATATATATATACACACACATACACATATATATATACACATATATATATATATATATATATGTATGTATATATATATACACACATACACATATATATACACACATATATATACACACATATACACGTATATATACACACATACATATACACACACATATACATACACACATATACATACACACACATATACATACACATATATATACACACACATAGATACAGATATATATATACACGTATCTATATACACATATATATATATATATATATATATATATATGTATCTATATACATATGTATGTATATATATATATATATATATATACGTATCTATATACATATGTATGTATACATCTATATATATATATCTATGTATCTATATATATATACATACATACAAGCACCTTACATAATAGCTACGTTCAGTGGCGGACTGGGACTAAAAATCAGCCCGGGAATAAAATAAAATAGTCCCTCCGTTGCGTTCTGCACAAAACAGTGCGAGGTGGTTGCTATGCAACAACAATAACAGCTAGCGAACATATTAGGCAGACAGCATTGTCGTTGTTTAGGTGCTTTTTTTTTTCTGGAGATAGGCACTTCTCAATCCACTCCTCCATAGTAAGGCCACCCGGAGGTCGAAGTGAACCTTAAATGTTTCCATCTTAAGCTTTGTTAGTTAGTTAGTTTCGTAAGGGACGTAATGTAAGTTGCACGGTTGTATCTTTTCTCAGACGCGGAGGGATACTGACTTGTGAAAAGTAACTACAATTATACCCGGGATATACGCTCATTATATTACGGCTAAGAAATATCAGATTGCTTGATTTGACTTGTACGTTTTATAAATATATACTAACTGTACTTACCCCCCCCCAAAAAAAGTTGTAAATTAAACAAGTGAAGTACATGAAGCCGTGGAGGGCGGTAGTTTATAAACCATAAGTAAAGCGAACACACCCGCAAGGACACCAGGCCTCCTATTGGTTGAGGGATTTTGACAGGGTTGTTGCACAAAAGATCAGAGAGCGCACAGAATAAATCTGAGAGCAGACATTTCACGAGCGCACAGAAACAGCCTGAGTGCAAGGAGAAGGTTTTAAGCTGGAACACAGGAAAAGCAGCAATATATCTGAGTGCAAGCGTACAGTTTGAGCAGAAGCAGAGCAAATCTAAGCGCAAGCAGGCACTATTTGAGTGTGAGGACAGGGTTTGAGGGAAAGAAATACATATTCCGAACGTGAAATCAATAAAGTATGCTCTCAAATTTAAAGACCACGCTCTTGAATAAAGATAGGGAATAACCCCCATACTAGGGAGTGCTACAGAAAGAGGCGTTTCAGAGACTTAAAAATTAACTGAGCTCTTCACGTGTGCTAGCCCCATACTCACCCACAGCAGAGACGTGTGTGTCAGCTGATGCATCTTCATTTGGTCTGGGGGCCATCATCAACCAACAACAAACAGATGGAACATGGAGGCTGTAAGGGAAACTTCTGCAGCAATGGAGAGTCAGGACTCAGAGAGACACGAGGAGAGTTGGAGCTTTGATGTCAAACACTGGTAGTTTATTACAAGTATCGGCAGCAAGAGGTTCTGACTGCCCGGGTGGGTTGCCACATCAATTCTGCCCAGCCTCTCTCTCGATAGACCTTTTAACTAGTTTACAGAGAGTTAATCAACAGCTGGGAACACTGGAGATATCCCCAACATCTGGACATACTGAATCACTTGCCTGACTCTTAGGCTCTGTGACCGAGAGTTGACCGGTCATAAAACTGAGAATGAGTGCAGCAGCACATTCTTTAAAGGAGATAACGAGTCAGGGTTGATTATAAACGTCAACAGGTGAAAAGGTTTGTGAAGCTGACAATTGAGCGGCCCGACCAAGCAAGGAGGCAGAGGCAGAACGTCCAAAATACAACCCGGTGTGGGCATTTATTAAGTCAGGAACACATGACACACAGCCTCAATCCTGCTGTTTCTCCCTGACCACAGCCTGCAGCCACAAGGATCTCACACACACTATCTCCCAAACAGCCAAACCCCAGAGCCTAAATGCCCAACCCAATCAACCCAACAGGACACAGGTGAGGGGGGAGGAGACACCACAGAGCACCAGGTGCACACAATCAATGGCCACAAAAATGGGGAATGGGGAACACATTTCAAAATAAAATACAATAAACACTACATCAATACATAATATAAACTGTATAAACATGTGCACATATGCAAGGCCCGAAGCCATCAGTGACAAAGTTACCTTCGTCACATTTCCTTACCCCTCTCCCCAGGAAGCACAGTGTCTTAACAGTCTCGGCTTCGGGACAACCAGTCAGCCACCCGGTTTTACTTCCCTGGCCGGTACTTAACCGCAAAGTTGGATGGCTGCAAGGCAAGGGACCACCGTGCGATGCGCATGGTTGCGTCTCTCTCTGGCCTTGGCCATTTTGCTGTCCTCCATGGGTCTCCACTCCGCCCGGTGTTTCCTGGACTCCTCTATGTGCTGCGGAGTGGCTCTGACCTTCTCCAGCCTCAGCGGCCTCTGCACCGGATCCTCATCGTACCCCTTCCTAACACGCTCATCAACCAGGAGCTTCTCTGTCTCAGCTGTACTGTCTGCTTCAGCGTCTGAAATGGTTACCTTTGGGACGTCTATCCCCACGGCAACAATCTGCTTCCCCTTGTGCAGCAGGGTTTTCTCAGAGGGGGCCGTGAAGTCGACAGGAAGCTTCCCTTTCTTCCTCTTCGGGATCTGATTCTTCCTCTCCCGGCGCTCCTGCTGTTTCTGCTGCATGACGCGCTCTCTCTCCTGACGGATTTTCTCAGCCATTTTCACCCGCTCCTCCTCTGCCAGTTTCTTCTTAGAGAGCCGGGACTGCGGCCTCTCTAGCTGAGCGGGATCCGCCCGGGACCGCTGCAGTTGCATCAGAAAGGCTATCTGCTGCTTCATCTGGATGAGCTCCCTCTCGCGCTCCTCCTTCTCCTCCGTGCTGCGCTGCAGGTGACACTGCAGGCTGATGTTCACCTTCTCCAGCTTCTTAGCGGCCGCTCGCTCAAATTCCCTCTTCATCTGGCGGTTATTCTCCTCCAGGATTTTTACCAGCTCCTCCCGCTTATATGTTTCTTCCTCCTGTTGTTTTCTACGGTCCTGCTCCCGAAGCTCCATGCGGGTACTCTTTAATCTGCTGCATCACTTTTTCCCCTCTTTGGGTCCGGTCCCCATACCGGACGTTGATGCGGTCAAGCTCCTCAGCCAATCTGCCGTCTTGCCTCCGGAGTCTCCGTTCCTCTTCTATCTCAGATACCTGTTGCTGTATCCGTAACAACTGCTGCTCTCCGGCTGCCTGAGACTGCATGAGTAACATCATCATCTCTGTTAGTTCCTCAAACTTGTGGTTATTCTCCTCCAGCATTTTCACCTCCTCACTTGGTCAATCCCACTTCTGACACCAATTGTGAAGCTGACAATTGAGCGGCCCGACCAAGCAAGGAGGCAGAGGCAGAACGTCCAAAATACAACCCGGTGTGGGCATTTATTAAGTCAGGAACACATGACACACAGCCTCAATCCTGCTGTTTCTCCCTGACCACAGCCTGCAGCCACAAGGATCTCACACACACTATCTCCCAAACAGCCAAACCCCAGAGCCTAAATGCCCAACCCAATCAATCCAACAGGACACAGGTGAGGGGGGAGGAGACACCACAGAGCACCAGGTGCACACAATCAATGGCCACAAAAATGGGGAAAGGGGAACACATTTCAAAATAAAATACAATAAACACTACATCAATAAATAATATAAACTGTATAAACATGTGCACATATGCAAGGCCCGAAGCCATCAGTGACAAAGTTACCTTCGTCACAAGGTTAAATATCTTAGGAGTAAAGACAGAATTATTCCCTAACAGAGGCCCATCATCTTCATCTCCAGAGGCCTGACTGAGGCTGAAAAACATTATGCACAGATTGAAAAAGAGGCTCTGGCTGAAACCTGGGCATGTGAAAGACTGACGCCTTATCTCCTGGGACTTAAGTTCACATTATAGACTGACCATAAGCTTCTTGTGCCCCTTCTGAGTACCACGAGTTCAACGATCTTCCTCCCAGAGTGATGAGGTTTAGACTGAGGCTAATGAAGTTCACATTTGACATTGTGCATGTGCCAGTCAAGTGCCTAATAACAGCAGACACCTTATCAAGAGCACCTATAAAACACACACTCACACAGTATGAAAATGACAAGGAAGCAGAGGTCAATGTGTTTGTGGATACAGTAATACAAAGCCTTCCTGCCACAGATGCCAGATTGAGAGTAATAACAGAGAAACAGAAAACTGATCCTGTGTGTGAAAAACTAAGCAAGTACTGCAAGACAGAGTGGCCTGAGAAACATGACCTTCCTCCAGAGCTGGGGCCATTCTGGCCTGAAAGAGAGACACTCACACTGGCTGGAGATCTGCTCCTCAGAGGCCAAAGAATCGTCATTCCCCAGAGCATGAGACAAGAGATCCTCAACGACCTTCACAGTGGTTATCAAGGCATTGTCAAGTGCAGAGCAAGAGCCCGCCAGTCTGTCTGGTGGCCGGGTCTGTCGGTATACATCGCCAAGCTGGTGAAGAGCTGTAACACATGTTCACAGCACAGAGCAGATCACAGAGAGCCTTTGCTGACAACCCCAGGAGAAACCCTGGCAACGTGTGGGTACAGACTTATTCTTCTGGGAAAAGAAGACTTATCTACTAATAGCAGTGGCGAACCGTGTCTATCACAACTGGACCTTCTGTAGACACACACAACCCCCTCCGCCGCCGCAGCATTATAATGTCCGTCTTTTCACTGAATTGTCGTCTTGAAAAGGGTACTCACAACAATTCCGCAACAACTTCATCTTTACCTGTTGCACTTGTCATTTCAACGGTAAAAACAATAAAACGGCATGAATTGCTTCGTCACATTCATCTAGATCCTCTGTCTCGAGCCAGTTAACTAGTGGGCCTTCTAGAATACCCTGGAACCGAGGGAAACTCTGAAAGAATATGCCCATTGGCTACAAATCAATATATGATTGGTTGATCAAACTGTCAGTCCAAACGTATGCTCTCATTCAGTGCAACGGCCAGGGCATTCGATCAAGGATGTAGAATACCTTGGTTGAAGGATATTCTACCCAGAGACCCAGAACAAGATCTGATTGGTTGCTTTCTTTTCTAACATAAAACCACTGAAATGCGTAGTGCATGGTCCGAGAAGGACAAACAAATCAACGTAACACTGTAATATTACAGATCAACAACACAGATACGATTCTCATTTATTCATTTTATATACATTTTATTTATATAATTAAAGCGATTTTTTGTTTGTTTTATCTGAGTGTTCCCTGAGTGGCCCTGACGGTTCCCCACTGACTGATAGTGGATAATTTCTCACGCTACATTGAAGTAGCACAGCTCAACATTGCCACAGCCAACACAGTCATTGCAGCTCTAAAAGAAGCATTCAGCCGCCACAGGATACCTGAAATGGTTTTCTCTGATAATGGACCTCAATACAGCAGTAGAGATTTTCCAAAGAGTACGGGTTTACACACACTACCAGTAGCCCCAGATACCCACAGGCAAATGGAGAGGCGGAGCATGCAGTGGCAACAGTGAAAGGTCTGTGGAAAGGAGTTGGAGAAAAACTGAAAGCTCTTATGACATATCGAGCCACACCTCTTGAGAGTGGTTATTCCCCTGCACAACTCCTCATGGGGAGACAGTTACGCACCACCATACCGCAGTTTCCAGCAACCCTGCGTCCCCGATGGCCAAACTTTGGAGAATTCAGGAAGACAGAGAAGCGGGCAAAAGAGAACAAAAAACGCAATTACAACCTGCGTCACAGAGCCCGTCCTCTGCTACCACTGCAGTCTGGTCAAAATGTGTGGCTTCCATGAGAGGAAAAACAAGGGACAGTGATTCAGCAGGCTACGACTCCCAGATCTTACGTCGTTCGAACAGATGAAGGACAAGTCAGGAGAAACCGTGCACGCCTGTGCCCTACGCACCATCCACAACCTCAGGTGCCACCGGATGAGACTGTTACAACTACAGAGCAAAGCAACACTGCCTGCTGCCTGTCATGAAGAGAGTCGCAGGCATACAGTCACAAACGACAACCCATATGTGACAACCTCAGGAAGAGTTTCCCGCCCCCCAGAGCGTTTAAATCTATAAGAGACTGTTAGTAACAATAATAATGCAGTCCGAAAAGTTCCGCTTTATATGAATATGCCAAGAGTATGTTTGTTGTGCTAAAGAGCGTGGTTCCTACTTAAGAGGGGAGGTTTTCTGTAAAAGGAACTACTGTTTAAAGGTTGTTCCTACACGGACCGTGGGTTGTGTTACACCCAACCCGGTATCACGGCAAGACGTGAACATGTGACGATTTACCATGCTGGGAGACGTGAAGATGTCACGATTTCGTCCCTTCAAACGTGACAGTTACACGGTATTGTTAATCAGTGGAGATATACCCGGAAATGCCAGGCAAATGCTACCCCGACGGTCGGTTATTGTCAATATTAATATAATAATGATTTATTTTTTAATAGTCACACTCGATTACGCCAATTTTCTTGTTTCCCCAGCTGGTCGACACCTCTTTTAGCAGAAACAAAGGCTACATTAATGTATTAAATCAATGTTAATCCATGCGTGTGGATGTGGAATTAACGGACGTGACGTTGTGCGATTGCGTTGCCAGGCAACAGCTTCGGTTCATGTTAATTTACAAACTCTTCAACTACAACCATAGTTATATTTAAAAACATGTTAGAAGGCCTCATGAAATACTTTAATGTAAATTTAAATGTGAAGGAATGTGTGTATAACAAAATAAATCCGTCATAAACTAAACCGGAAACAGACGTAGGCAAGATCCTCAGCTCGATGATTGGATGATTTAGCCGCAGTGCACGCTGGGATTTGGTGTTTTTGCGATGTGAAATCCGAAAACATTTATAAAAAAAAAATAATAATACTTTATTCCGAGTGTGCTTGCTTTTCTCTTTGAAAGTCATCACATAACGGCATTGTAATACACGGTTCGGCTGCATTAAATATTACATATCTGCCGTAGTTCTCTATTTATAGAGCCCTGATGAGAAGACTAGACAAACATGAGGAACTGCCGCCAAAACTGAAAACGTGACGTGGATCATAAATATATCAGCAATTAAACAACATCTTACATTTCTTTTCACACAATACGTCTCCTTGCAGTATCAACACTAATTCAGCTGACTTTTATATTTCATCCAATTGGTAGATAGGCTGTATTTACACCATAAAGGTGCACAGCTGATAGAAAGGGACACCTGGTGGTTAAAGCACGTTATTGAATTTTATAATTTTATTATTAGATAAAACGCCATCCTGTTTAAACCACGTCAAGGATTATTTCTGAAATAGTATGGAGCTCAAATGCTTTTTCTCTTGCAGGTTTATCACAAGGTGAGTTCTTTTTTTATTTCCTGCTTTTAAAACACATGTGCTCTTCAGTACAGGTTAGCTCTGAGTGTTAGCGAGGCTTGCTAATGTAAACAAAGACGTCCAAAACACGTCAGGCATTGTTTCTGATAGCAACTTTCTGTGGGTCCGCCGCCGCTATGACGTCAGAGCGGATGGACACGTCACAGCGGATGGAAATCTGTATCCGCTCGTTGTACACCCGTTTTTAAACGATTTGGGTATGGTGGATAAGAGAGAGGGTTTTATTTTCTGACGTTGCGTGAGTTCGCCGACACACCGGGGACACATATTTATGTATAAAAGACATCACAAAGTGCATTTTGCATGATAGGTCCCCTTTAATTATGTTCATTATGTTCCCCCTCTGTGGGAATATTAAGGGGTATATAAAATAAAATAAAAAGTGCTAAATTATTTCCCCAATTACTGTACATTGTAGTGACAAACGTAATTGCGTCCATTCGGGTCGCAACATCTGAAATCCAAAAGGATCATCTGAGTTTTGAAATCTAAGATCCTGTAACCAGTCGACTGCAGATGTTTTGGAGGAAAGTAATTGAGGATAGTCCGACACGATAGAAGCATAGTTGCCACTGTACTCTGCATTTCTCCTTTTGAGTTAAGCTTGCATTATAAAACATTCAG